TAACTGGTTTGCTAAGTATTTGAATGTTGGTTGGTTGGATGGTTGGTGGTTAACTGGTTTGTTGGTTGGATGGTGGTTAACAGTTTTTTGGTTAACTGGTTGGTTGGTTAGTTGGTTGGTCAGTTAACTGGTTGATGAACTAGTAGGATGGTTTGTCAGTTAACTAGTTGGTTATCGGGCTGGTTGGCTGGTCAATAATCTGAAATGTTAAACAGGTTGTTCAGTATTTTTCACCTCATTTGTTTTTTACAAAAACAAATATTTTCTGTAAACTGAAGTTTCTTCAGAATAATTTTGACTCCAAACAAAATGTGTAATAAATTACGTATAAACTATTTTCCTATGAAACATTGGACTGATCTAAACAGTTACTGTTAGTTACTGGTAAGAAATTTGCAACAGCAGTATTTATTCGTAATATTTACATTATTGCATTAGTTTAAATTAACCTCTTAATTATATTCAGTCTAACTGCAGGTAATTATCTTGTTGTTAAGATATTACCTGATTATTACATAGTTTTGGCGGCGGCTCAGATCTCATCACTGAGCTGTAATAAAAATAAAGTAATAAAACATGTTGTTCAGATTTACCCTCAGCTCGCTCGTATTCTGTTTTCATGCATAAATCGTTTTTGTTTCCGTCTTCGGGTCTTTCATCTCGGAGCATTTTCTCTCCACGAGCGCTCCAGACACGAGACGACGGTTTCACAAACTAACGTGTTGGACACACGAGAACATTCAACTGTTTGTCTTCACAGAAAGTCAGCGAGAAGGTCGGAGGAGCGGAAGGAACCAAACTCGATGACGACTTCAAAGAAATGGAAAAGGTCATTAATTGAATTTATCTTCATTTTATTCAATCTAAATAAATTCAGTTTATTTATTTAGATCTGACTCGCAGCTCAGGTCGTCAGAACTTGGTAAAAGTGCTTTAGTGAAAAATCAACAAGTTGCATAAAATCTTCACATTTGACACAAATATATTTAAATGATATTCAACCGAAGAGGCTGTGGTCCAGTCAGAGATGAAACTCTTAAAAACACGAACTGTTTAAATCTGCTGCTGGTTTTTATCTCAGCTGTTTGATGGAGAAGTTCTAGTTGGAAAATTATAAACTTTTCTTTAAATGAAAAAGAAAAAACGACTAAAAAATGTCTCATTAACTTTAAAAAAACAAACGTCAGTTTTTGTAAACCGTCTAAAAACTTTTAAGATTAAAAATGCAACATTCCTTGATGGAATGCTTATCACCCGCCGCCTGGAACGTCCAACTTTCAAAGTAAAACGTCACGCGGTCTGTTAGCGCTCAGGAGGCCCATCACGATAACTAATCCTGCTGGACGATTAATTGTCTCCAAAATTATTGCGATAAACGATAATATTGTTTGAAATTTGACAATAATTAATAATTATTGTCAAATTTAAGATGTTAATTATGTGTGCAGTACCTTTTTTTACCACTGGATGTTAGTATAAGACTGTTTGAACCGAAGGATGGATAGTGAGGGAGTGAGCAGCGTCTCTTTAAGAAAAATGTGAGGGAGGCCCCTTGACCGGACATGGGCTGTCTCTCTTTGGTTCTCAAAATGGCGGACGCTCGGTGTGGTTTGAGTTCTTTAGCATTTTTCACACAAAGCTTTTAATAAAAAAATCATTTAACAAGTTCTCAAATTCTTTTTGCAGAGAAAAAACAATTTTTTACACGAAAACACGAGTTTCAACTGTGAATTTTGGAGCTTCGACAAGATGGAGGTTTATTCCCCGAGGTCGGCCTGTTAGCTTAGCTTGTAGCTTATCGTCTCAGCTTAGCTGATTTTAACGAAACAAAAACATGATTTTGGACGATTTAAGAGATTTTAAAGAGAAAGGGCGGGGTCAGTGAAGAGTCTTTTGTCGTCCAGTGTCTTCAGTAGAAAGAGAGACAAGAAGAAAGGATAAAACCGATAAATGAGAACGAGGTCGATAATTTTCATTTATCGTGAGATTAATTGATGTATTGATTATCGCGACAGGCCCAGCGCTCAGAGTGCGTGTTGGGAATCAGGCTCAGCTACTACCACAAGTCTTCGCTCGGTGTCTAAGAATGACTGACTTGTAGCCATGAACGTGTTGGTAAAGGTTGACTAGCTGTGGCGGCCATCTTAAATTTGGTTGGCTCTGAAAGTTAATCAGCTGTAGACGTACATCCGAACATTTCTTCAGACCTCGGCTACTACCACGTCAAACTTTAGCTCCGGTTCTCTAACGTTAATGGAGTTGTTGCCACTTTTGCACTGGCTGATGAAAAACACTCAGTTTTGTGTGTTAGTGTTTTTTTCTCTGATATCGTGTCCAACTTCCTGTAAGTGAGGTCTGAGTGTCTCACTGATGTCCTGCTGTCTCCTGCAGAAGGTGGACATCACCAGCAGAGCGGTTCTGGACATCATGACCAAAACCACTGAGTACCTTCAGCCCAACCCGGGTACGAAACTCACACAGAGTCTGGGCTCCGGTCGTCCTCCTGACCTTTGACCTCTCCCGACCTTTGACCTCTGCTCTCTCGCAGCGTCCAGAGCCAAGCTGAGTATGATCAACACCATGTCCAAGATCCGCGGGCAGGAGAAGGGACCCGGTTACCCGCAGGCCGAAACCATCCTGGGCGACGCCATGTTCAAGTTCGGACGAGAGTTAGGAGAAGAGTCGTGCTTTGGTAAGAGCCTGAACCTGAACCTGGACCTGAACCTGAACCTGGACCTGAACCTGGACCTGGACCTCTGTGAGCAACAGGAGGGACGACATGTTGTGATTTTATAATTAATCATAAAATCTGTTTTGAGCCTGTTCATATTCGTTATTCTTCCAGTTACTTTAAACTCTTCCCAACATTTTTCTGCATCGGTCTCGTCCCGCAGGTTTCATCTGTTTCAACAAGTCATGAATCAAAACGTTCGGCTCTTTCAGGACAATCCTGCTATGACTTTTGGTGTTGGTGCAACTTTAGCTGTTTGAAATATTTTAGCCTTTTCTGACATTTTTTCCTCAGAGAAAATGAATTGAGCTCATTTTCCATCCTTCAACTCTTTAGCTGTGTTTACAACCTTTTACTGCTCCTTTCACTTTTTGTTCTGCTTCAGCTTCTTTCAGCTTCCTGCTGCTAATTTAAACTTTCTTAGGCTACTTTCAGCTAATTTCAGCTGTTGTGTGCTCCTTTCAGATTATTTCTGCTAAATACATGTACAAGTTTTATGCTTCTTCTAACTTATTTCTGATAATTTCAGCTTGTTAGGCTAATTTCAGCTTATTTTTGCTAGTTTCAGCTTTTTCTGCTATTTCGGCTACTGAACGCTGTTTTATGCTATTTTTAGCTTTTTCAGCTAATTCCACATTGTTTGCACTTGTTTCAACTTTTTTCAGCCTCATTCAGCAAAAATGTGCTCTCCACTTCCTTCTGGTAATTTAAGCTTTTTTGGCTACTTTTCAGCTGATTTTTGCTCATTTCAGCTTTTTCAGATAATTTCTAATTTTTTGTGCTTGTTTCTGTTTCTTTCAGCAAACGTGTTTTTCTGCTTTCTTCTGCTAATTTAAGCTTGTTCTTCCTTTTCAGTTACATTTTAGCATTTTTTAGCTAATTTCAGCTGTTTTCAGATAAATTCAATTTTTTTGTGGTAATTTCTGCTACTTTCAGCCTAATTAAATCTTTCTACTAATTTCAGCCTCTAGTTTCAGATTATTTCTGCTAGTTTCATTTATTTCAACTACTTATGTTTATGCTATTTTTAGCCTTTTCTGCTAATTACACATTTTTTAGCTCATTTCAGCTCTTTCCACTTCCTTCTGGTAGTTAAGCTTCTTTCTGCTTTTTTAGCTACTTTTTGCTAATTTCACCTTTTTGTGCTCATTTCTGCTTAAACCTAATTCAGCAAATATGTGTTATTTCTGCTTCCTTCTGCTAATTTCGGCTTGTTCTTTTTCAGCTAAAATTCAATTTGTTTAGCTAATTTCAGCTGTTTTTCAGCAAGTTCTAAAGCAATAAGGATTCACAGTGCATTTTCACAGGAAATGTAATTAGTGTAGTTACTGTAGTTTCTTCTCCGTGCTGCTGGACACCTGATGAGACAAACCGATGATGGTTTGAGAATATTTGTGTTTTATAGCTGATCAATAATAATTAATCTCTGCTCGTGTTGAATTTTTGCATCCAGGACTGGCGCTGATGGATGCTGGCGAGGCCATGAAGGAGCTCGGGGAGGTGAAAGATGCTCTGGACATGGAGGTCAAACAGAACTTCATCGATCCTCTGCAGAACCTCCACGATAAAGACGTGAAGGAGATCCAGGTGCGTGAACTCAGGCGTGCGTGATAAATGAAGCTGGACGTTGTCGTTCCTGCGCAGCTGCAGATTTCAGGGACTCACCTGGGATTTGTCCTCCTGCAGCATCATTTGAAGAAGATGGAAGGCCGCCGCTTGGACTTCGACTACAAGAAGAAGCGGCAGGGGAAGGTCCAGGACGACGAGATCAAACAGGCGCTGGAGAAGTTCGACGAGAGCAAAGAGATCGCAGAGCAGAGCATGTTCAACCTGCTGGAGAGCGACGTAAGAACCGTTTGAACTGGACAGAACCGGGTTCAGAAGCTTCTCCCCTCGGCTGCTTTGGAGACAAATGAAATCCTGATGTAGATAAAAGTCTGCAGAAGCTGACAGATTTACTAAATGCTTAAAAACATTAAGAACAAGAAATACTTGAAATAAATGTGGAAAGGAGCCAGAGCAGCTCCAACATCTGAGGATGCTAAGCTAAAATAGCATAGTGCTAGCTAAACTGATCAAAAGACAAGCAACAGTATCGAAAGGCTAGCTTAAAGGTAAATGTAGCAAAAGGCTAGCTTAAAGGTA